CAAGGCAATCGTAAATTTTGTATTCTAAGAGCATATGAGTGATATGGGCGCATAAATCAGGGTCTTTATTGTATTATCGTATTATAGATGACTTGTGCAGGCGACTGTGCTTACATTTCAATCAGAAATGTGTTCACCGTTACAATGGGATGAAAATGAAATAAAAGTTAATATACAACAATGATGAAACTTAAATAGGCGTTCACCTTTGTAAGTTTCAAGTTAGTTCTTTACGGATCATCACCGTGTCAGTGAGAATACGAGCCAGAAAGGGAACCGTTGAGTTGCGATAAATGTTTTTACGTGAGAGTAAGCAGTGGAAATTGGATCGGGTTGTAGCGTGGGGCCACGGCAAGCAGATAAATCGGGATTGAGTGGATGACTGGGGTCATTGATTATCTTATGAGCAAAATTTTTGCATTAAGTGATATGCAACTTACACAATTTTGTGAGCAGAGCGTTTAAAGGAATAAGAGAAACACGGTTGATAATTACTAAACCGCGACGTAGAGTAAAGAAGTCCTTTCTAAGTAGAATAAGGAAAATAACGGGCGAACAACAAAGTATGACTGGAAAAATGCATTGATATACAAAGGAGCATTAAGCTTCATGTCTGACGCAAAATTGACGAAGCTTGCGTACTTGCAAACATAAGCGACACAGCCTACCAACACAAGCAAGCACATGAGAGGACCACCGTAGATTGCTATCTATGTTAACTCCTAGGTATTTCGTGGTATGTGTTTCGGTGATGGGTAGGGAATTGATGACTAAGGGATCTACGGGGTATTGGGATCGGGAAAGACTAAAAATTCATTCAAAGCATTTAGAAGTATTCAGCCAGAGACCATATTGGTTTAAAAATAATTGCAATTGCAACTAATTGTCGGAAAATGATTTTATGTCCGATTGGTTTGAGATGGCTTGACATGCAACCACGTCGTCAGCATACTTGAAGGTCGTGGCTGTTGAGGGCGAGTCACTGATGGAAGTTGAAAATAGGTAGGAGAGAGCACAACACACTGAAGGACTCTAGAATTATTCACTGACGGTTTTGAAGTGTGCCGTTTGCTTTCGTCCTTTAAGTCCTTTCTGTGAAATAATCTTTTAACCATAACAACAATTTGGTGGGGCAACCAAATGACTCTAACTTTTGCAGGAGAAGAGATCGTGGAGCGGAATCGAAAGCCGAAGAATATTCAAAGAAAACACAAGAAACCGACTTTTGGGAACTATCTAAAGATTTGCAAGTAAAGTGAATCATTGAAGAGACGGCATCCAAAGTGCATCTATTTGGCTTTTACGCAAACTGGAGGGGGTTAGTGGGAACAATAAAACCAGACTGCAAGCAGGTGAGGATAGCACGCTCTGTAAGTGTAAGTCCAGACGAGGTGATGGCGATAGGACGAAAGCGTTTAGGTAAAATGCTAGATGAAGAGAATCAAGGAATGGAAATAATGGTGAACGGTCTCCAGGAATCCGGAATCAAACATGTGTGAATGGATTGGTTAATAAGGGACGTAAACATCTCGGTGACTGAGCCAAAGAAGAAGATAAATCATCGGGGCTAACTGCGTTCGTGGATTTTGTATTTTTCATGGTAGATAAGTGATCTGTGGGGTACGGAGACCGGAGATCATTAGAAGGATAAATGAATGCAGCATTGAGGCTGTCCACGTCAATAATTTTGTTCGTTGTCCATTTCTTCTGTCCGCAAAGCAATCTGATTCCTGGCCATATGACGAACATTGTGGATCGAAGGGTGTCGCACATTAGGACGGTGATCGATAAATGCAGGAGTCGTAGATCAATGCATCGATTCCGATCAGGTATAATACCCGCCGAGTTTTATTCACGCAAATAATTGTGAATTACTGTGCTTCACTGCACAATATTCATGGTTGCCTGAGCACAGATTTATTCACCTTATTTTGCTTAATTAAAATAATATTTTACTGTAACGGAACCATGAGTTTTGAGTTCTCGCTAGTTTTAGTTCCGACATAAACTGTTCGACACTGGACTAGTATATAGAGAACGGTTTTAACACAACCGAAACTTGGCAGACAATAAATAAAAACGCTTCTGGGTGCACCACCTCACTCTCGTTATACATAATTGAAATAATCGCTGCTCTGAAAAGCGTATCTCTTTTTCATGAACGGTTGTTAGAAAAATAAGAGGTGCAGCGGCACAAAAGTAGTGAAAAATATTGCGTTGCAAATAGGAAAGCAAATATTATCGATTAAAGTACAATTGTTGTCTTGAAGCCTGCATGATTATCTGATTAGTGTGGATCCGGAATTGCATAGCTCTCCAGCTTTACCACGAGTTGCTGCAAAAGCGTGCAGTTTCTCAAAAGTTTTCCATAAGGGTGAAAATCTACGAGAACAACAACCTCAGTATAAACTGAAAACACGTAAAATGCTTTAGCGTAGAAGCGATTAGAACTGGCTGCCATCAAAGGACATGAACCGAACACCCCCCTTGTATCTACCCTCGATTTTGCTCAAAATTCTCCCCCACCCCCCGGGAGGAGATGAGCTGTTTTGTTTGCTTTATCGTCTCAGCGAAATTAGTTCATATCGACACACAATTCTACGCATGCGATTGTGTGCGACTGCGTTCATGCATTATTTGCTGTTCTCAACCTCAACTTTCTGTACTGCACAAAAACATCACGTGTTTAAACCGGTTTTGCTATGCGTCAGTCAAACCTGAACACGTTTGCCAAAGCGTACTGAGAGTATTCTTTTTTGTGGTTCAGTTCTTGTTGGTTAGATAGCTTATTTTTCCGCTATCTGAGCTACATTTATGTCAGAGAATGTTCGAATTCACTCACGAAAGCCATACAACACCATAACATTTGCATGTTTATAATACACCTGACGGAATGCAAGATAGAAGACGGCCTGGAAATATAGCCCCATCTAAAGTTATCACCCAGTTTGCAGCCTATCACAGGATCATAAAAATGTATAACATGTTCAGTGGTAGCTGACAACAGCACTACTCTAAAGAAAANCTACGAGGTTACACGGCTATTATCAATTTTATGACATGATTTTAAGAACGGTACAGGCTTCAACACAGGGAAAGCTTTGACCTGTTCTGATTGTGCGAGCTGTACTTAGTGATTAAGCTCGTTGGGAAAGTCAGTTGTGCTATTAACATTATTACAGATGCGAGTGAGATTTCCAAATTAATCACTGGTTTGAAAGCGTATCACTGACCGCGCCAGACGATTTTCTACATATGATCAAAGTAATCACTTCTGGACATGTTTGATGTTTATTGATATGGTTCATTCGTTTTGGCTCATTGGCGTGTAACCTGTGAGTCTGACCAACCCATTTACACAATTGATAAATACACTGGTTCAACTTCAACTAGAGTTGTTTATTGATTACGATATCTAAATGCCATAGGACTATCTAAGATGAGCAACAAAAAACAGTGTAGAACTGTTTCATCCGGTTTGAGACTCGTCAGCAGGGCACACACTCTGTAATTCCATCACCACTCAAACTGCGAACTTTCGGGTTGGGAATGTAAGTCTTTACCCCTGAACTGCACGATCGACGATAATCATTTAACGCGAATGGTGCCAGTGAAAAGTGCGAGGAATAATCCAAACATGGTACTCTAAAAATAATTTCGAAATAGTTATATCTTATTGAGGATACCTCACTGTTTCTATGGGACTGCAAGATTTAAACTAACTCAGTACTTGCGCGACCATTCAGGAAAAGATTGGTAGCTCAAGCTGACTGTACCCAGCTTCAGAGATGGGTACTTTGTTCACACCAGCTGCGAGCTGTATTTGGGGCACAATGATATTCTGTCTCTACCCGAACTTGCTTACCAAGGAACTAAAATGAAACAATGATGGCAAAGAGGATTAAGGAATCAGTGCATAATACCCTCTATAATTAAAGGGACAGAAGCAGAAAACCGCCAGCTGAATAGCACTGAACATGTCACTTCGCCTGTGGATGAAACACGTGCAGATAAATAGACCAACTTTATGAATATGAAAATAAATAAATAATAATCACTGAACGCTACTGTTTCTTTCTTCGGTTATGCAATGTGCTTGCGCTGGAGTTTGCAACATGATACAACCTGTGAAAGGATGCGCGAGAAAACCAAATATGAGCCGTGTGTCCCCGTGAGTTGAAACAGCCGACGAAAAGAAGGTTCTCCGGGAAGAGAGTTAGTTGACAACCTGGAAGAAGGGAAAAATACAAACGCCATAAACCCAGTGATACATAAAGATGACTCACAATTAAACTGAATGGAAAGCTTCCGAGGGCGTTACAACTGAACGAAGGTGCAAGTGGTTGCGTTAATCAAGCAGTGAAAACCATTACTATATTGCTTCAGAAGGTTTGGACTTGAAGTTCATCATCCAACTTTTCCAGTTATTTTCGTAGCATGGCAGCTCCTTAATCAATTAATTCCCTCTTCTGGGAGACTTATTTTGCATCTATCTATTTAATATAATTGAAGTAAGGAATAGTCCTGCCATTAGCACAGTGTAATACAATTGTTCCTTTGTATTTGCCACCAACGTGAATTGAACGAACAGTAGGAAGGATAAGTCAAACAAACCCGAGCTCCCAAAGTTCACATGTGGCAACCGGAAACCCAATCCACGAGACGTGGAGCAATGGGCCATATTACATTTCTAAAAGGCTTGTCGATGTGTTGAACAGATGACAGAAAAACTTCTCTGTGGCAAAGATGAATAACAATGGCTGTATATACATGTGCATAACCTAGCACCTAGAGGCTCGATGTACACAATCGACGAGAGCTTCAATCGGTAGCTACTGTTGAATCCTTTATAAAGTTTACTCTGACAAAACCGTTAACTTACAATTCCACAAAGAAGAAAAATAAACCACAGTCGTTTAATTTCTACGTATTATGTCTACTACTTTGTATAAAATCAGGTCAGAACTGAAGCAGATCGGAAAACCCACTGGGATATAACCATGCCGGAACCCCACATTATTCCACTCAACCCGATCCCCGAAGATCTTCGTTTGTTCTCCAACACGTTTTCCGCGGATGAGGATTCTCACTCGCTTGCAATTTCACCCACCAATGCTGATCTGGACGAGGTGGGTATACATTCGAGCACGTCTACCCTGAGCATTGATGACGAGCCTCACAGTCGTTCGAGGCTGACTAAAGTTCCACCGTTGGAACTGGCGTCACGCGACAGTAGTCTGTTTGCCGCAAACGATCCGTTCAAAGATCATTCCGATATCAACTTAAGAAGTGATTCTGAAGACGAAGTGGTGAGTGCACTCGTAATTATGATCGATCGAGTTTTAGCAGTTTTGCTCCTTAAGGGTGATTTTATTTGATTTATGGAACATTTTTTTTCATAAAGATTATTGTACCATGATTTACCTAGCGCACAGTCTGTCTTCAGACAAGGGTCAAATATAATATATAATAATGGAACATTTCTTCAATGTTAAATTAAAAAAAACAACTGGTCTTACTGGTAAGACCTAAAGGGGGCCAATTTCTTGCTTAGCCCTTACTGACTGAATGGTTGATTTATTGAAGTACAGATTGTGCATGAAAAGGAAAGTCAAACGACAGAGCGTAAAAGTTTATAAAATCGCAACCAGGTCTATGTAGTTTTATCGTTTCTTTTGAGCTTCCAAGGTTTTCCGTTTTTTTATTTTACTCTATGGTGTGAGGAGTGCAGAAATTGTCTAATCCTGGTAGTTTTGACTTTCAGTCAGGTAAATGAATCTGACTAGTGCATGGTATGGTTTTGGCAACTTCACCGCGAGCCCTAATAATTGAAGTCAGACTGAATTCCTTTCCAATGAACTTGGCAATCAGGATTATAGGAGGAATAACAAAGGGTGCTGTTTCAATGGAATGTCTACAAGCACATGGGTGTTATTTGAGCTATGTCCGCAATTCAGTTGATGGGTTATTATCCTCACTAAGGTCCACGAGGAACACCATATCGGCTTCTAGGGGCGCATTCAGTTACTTCCGCCTCGTTTAGGGTAGCACGATGAACTAAAAATTTTAGGTAGAAGTCAAACAGATTTCATGATGATGTCTAAGAATCGCCCAATTCTGTGGATTAGAGGAGTGAAAGTAATGCACGTGCGGTCATCACCTAAATTCCAAACGGATCAGTGGAAAATACCAGGTGATTATTCCGAAATTAAATCACAAGGCGCTTTGTGCTCAGCGTTGATTTGCTATCATCAGTTAGGGACTGTCTTGAAGAATTTTACATCAGTTTCCCACATGATCAGTGCTTCCTAGTTCAGTGAAGAGAGTGAAAGTTTGGTTATCACTTTGTTTCCATAATGTTTCACCGTAGAGACACTTTGTAGGCTGGTACCGTTTGCCGTAATCGGTCAATCCAAGTTGGCTGCGTATTAAACCCAGTGAAAATTGGTTGCCTTTTTGTCAGCTTTAAGGCACAGGATTCATTGACGAACATGTCAGCTTTTTCATATCTGAAGAACGAGTCGATAATGCGCATGCTTTGTCCTATTGCAACTGAGAAATCCGGTTGGTTAGGCTAGTGCATGCTGATTAACTTTAAATGCAATTCCAGCCTAAATCCTATAATAAGGGGTTAATTCCCATGGACACAACAAGAGGATGACTGAATCATGTGTTGAGTTCATCCCCAGACACTTCAGTTAGACACTGAAAGATGGTCCTTGTCTTCTCGCCTGGGCAGTTCCATTCAGTTCAGGGTGTTAGGTTGATCGCTATCTATTTTCCTGAGTTATTGCAATGACATCAGTATGGTTGTCAGTAGATTGTTTGCCAAACAGGAACTTTCGGTTTACTCGTTTCGAGTTACCATGAAGATTGTCTCGAGTGACATTCTCACGCGCTACATTTACGTGTTCCGTATCAGGGACTCGGTGAATATTGTGACCCACTGCTCTTGTTCCCTATGCATCATTTCTGTGATACTATGAGCAACGAAAAAAAAAACAGTAAAGAATTTATGCACTCAATTCAAATTCTCCAGTGAACCACTCGAAGAACGCCCTCAGAAGGCTACCCATAATTCGTCAGTCTAGATTGATATTTATTCTGTTATCATGTTTTACCCTATACCATTTGTATCTCGGTGATAGAAGTGACTGATCGTTTGGTGATTCCTTGATATGTGCCCACCGAAATATATAAATATTTCAAGAGAGAATGGAAGCGTA